GTGGCAGGGGGGGGCGTGGCAGGAGGGGGGCGTGGGAGCTGTGGGGGAATGGGTACCAGTCCTCACAGGATGTATTGTCTCCCCACTGCTGCTCTGAACACGGCGCTCTTGTGGGGCAGGAGAGCTAATAATAAGTGTGAGTTGCGCAGCCACGGCTTGGGTCCAATCTCGGCCGGTCCGCGTCACGGCCGGCGCCCCTGGGCAATGTGTCTACCTTCGCTGTGCCGGTTCGCGGTGGACCCCGAGCCTCAGTGGGATCTGCAGGCCTGAGCGAGCCGGCTCCACGCTCGTTGCAGGGGCTGATTATCCCCAGGATCCTGGAATACTCCCAGGAGCAGGCCGGGGGCGTCGGGTACGCCGTGGGGCTGTGCCTCGCCCTGTTTGCCATCGAGTGCCTCAAGTCCCTGAGCATGTGCGCCTGCTGGGTCGTCAGCCAGCGCACGGGCATCCGCTTCCGCGCAGCCGCTGCCTCCCTGGCCTTCCAGAAGCTGTTGCAGTTTAAGTCGCTGACGCATATCACCACCGGCGAGGTCAGTGCCGGGGCGGCCAGCCAGCGCTGCCTGGGCCGGGGGAGGGAGAGAGAATGATTCCCAGGGGGGTGATGGCCATCCGCAGCCTCGCTGGGGTCCCCGGGCAGGTCAGGTCTGAGCCGGGAGAGAGGGTCCCTCCATTGCTCCACTGCAGTTATGGAGCCTGCTCTGGGGCGGCCTGCTTGGGCCCCCGGGGACACCTGCCTGGGAGGAGGGCGTGGGAGGACTTTATGGCCCAGGGACGCCCCCAGGGAAAAGCAATTCCGAGGGCTCCGTGGGTGCCCACTCCCCTGGTGAGGGCGGGGGCTGGTCTTGCTCTCCTGGCAACATAAGGACCACACAGACACTGACAGGGATGGGAGGGGCTGTGACAATGTGTGGCCTGTAGTTGTGGGGGACACTAGGATTTTATATATTTAACTAGCGACCCAGTGCATGAAATTTCACTGGGAGGATCCTCAGCCGGGCCTGCACCCTCTCACAGTCCGGGCCCCCTTGGGGGATGTCCACCTGCCAGCTTAGGCCCGCTCCCTGCTGGCAGTGGGACATCCCTCTCGCAGTCCGGGCCCCCTCGGGGGATGTCCACCTGCCAGCTTAGGCCCGCTCCCTGCTGGCAGTGGGACATCCCTCTCGCAGTCCGGGCCCCCTCGGGGGATGTCCACCTGCCAGCTTAGGCCCGCTCCCTCCTGGTAGTGGGACATCCCTCTTGCAGTCCAGGACCTCTCACTCATTACCACCTGCCTGCAGTGGAGGCGGAAGAGGCTTGCACCACCACCACGGTGCTCGCCAGCCCTGAGACCAGCTTCTGGTTGAGTGGTGCTCCCACGGGGGAGCGCACTGACCACCAGGAGGCAGCTCCTACATTGAACGTCTGCCCCCTGGTGGTCAGTGCGTGTCATAGTGACCAGTCGTTTTGCTGTTCGGTCAATTTGCATATTAAGGTTTTATTTTATAGGATTCCAATCTCCCTGCTTTCCTGTGGCTTGAGGAACATGGATGACTTTTTTTTTGAAGGAAATTTTTTTTTCTAAAAAAATGAATTTTTATTGATTTCAGAGCAAAAGGGAGAGGGAGAGAGGGAGAGAAACATCAGTGATGAAAGATAATCATTAACTGGCTGCCTCCTGCAAGCCCCACAACTGGGGACCAAACGTGTAACCCTGGCATGTGCCCTGACTGGGAATGGAGCCATGACTTCCTGGTTTATAGGTTGAAGATCAACCACTGAGCCATGGCAGCCAGGCTAAAGCTGTATTTTTAAGATGAATCTTTGGGGCATTTTGTTTGTTTGTTTGTTTTGATTTATGGGGAAAATTTAACATGGTCTCTCATACCGAATGCTGCACAGCAACCAAGCCGCCCCTCTCCAGCCTCCTCCAGCCCTCAAATGCACTGGCCCCCACCAGTCCCCACCACGAACACTTCTGGCTGCCCCCCTCCTTCGAGCCCCCTTCAAAGACACGGACCTTCTCCCGACCGGCGTGGCTCCATGGTTGAGCGTCGGCCTATGAACCAGGAGGGCACGGTTCAATGCCCAGCGAGGGCACAGGCCCGCATTACTGGCTGGATCCCCAGTGGGGGGCGTGCAGGAGGCAGCCGATCCAGGATTCCCTCTCATCTTTGTTGTTTCTATCTCTCTCTCTCTCCCTCTCCCTTCCCCCCTGAAATCAATAACAATGTTAAGAAAAAAGACACGGACTCGGGGCGACTGGAGAGGTGACCCCGAGCCTCGGGCTGCTGTCTTCCAGGCCATCAGTTTCTTCACCAGCGACACCAACTACCTGTTCGAAGGCGTGTACTACGGCCCCCTCATCTTCCTGAGCTGCTTGTCGCTGCTCACCTGCAGCATCACCTCCTACCTCACACTGGGACCCACCGCGCTGATCGGCACGTTCTCCTACCTCCTGATCTTACTGCTGATGGTGAGGCTGGCCGCTCCCCAGAGCGCCCGGGCTCTGTCATGGGGGTGCCTCCGACTGGACACGTTGCCTCTCGGGGTTGTGGGGGGAGGGGGCACACTGGCTGCTTAAATTGCAGGTGAAAACAGATTGAGCAAAACAGGAAGCGGTTCTTGGATGACACGTGCTCTGAGTCATCCAGACGGAGGGGCCTCCTCCCTCGGTCCCCGGAAAGGGGCCTGCGACTGTTAGGGGGTTGGGTTCCCAAAGGCAGAGCACTTGGACTCTGCTGCGTCAGCCCAGCCTGGCTTGGCCCCAGGAGAGAAGGACCCCCAGGAAGGACAGCAGGGACCCAGAGGTCGCACCCTAGAGGGGGTACCTCTGAAAGCCTTCAGCAGGGACCTAGCGCTTGGTCTCATGGGCCGCCCGGGGCAGTTAACCAGCGATTCGTCCGCATTTGGTGTTTCCCTTTGGGAACTCTCGCCTGCCGCCTCCGACCGGCTCTCCCCACGCAGCCCCTCACACCCTCCTCCGGCTGCAGGCGCTCCTGACCCTTATGCTTGTGAAGAGGCAGAAGCAAACCTCTGAGGTCAGCGACCAGCGCATCCGGGTGACCAGTGAAGTCCTCACCTGCATTAAGCTGATTAAAATGTACACATGGGAGAAGCCATTCGCACACATAATTAAAGGTACAGAGCAACTGCTTCCTGCTCGGAGCCTATGGCTGTCCTGGTGGGCCACGCCACCCACCTTCTGGGCATTTCCTCCGTGCTCTGTGGGTTGTTCTGTGTTCCGTGGCGGATGTTCCCGTGGCCAACCATGGATTGTTCTGTGTTCCATGGAGGATGTTCCTGTGGCTGACCATGGATTGTTTGTGGAGAATGTTCCCGTGGCCAACCACGGATTGTTCTGTGTTCTGTGGAGGATGTTCCCGTGGCCAACCACGGATTGTTCTGTGTTCTGTGGAGGATGTTCCCGTGGCCAACCACGGACTGTTCTGTGGAGGATGTTCCCGTGGCTGACCACGGCCTGTCTATGGAGGATGTTCCCGTGGGTGGCCATGGATTGTCTGGGGAGATTGTTCCTTGCCTCCTGCACGCCCCACACTGGGGATCGAGCAGGATGTTCCCGTGGCTGGCCATGGATTGTCTGGGGAGATTGTTCCTGTGGCCAACCACAGATTGTTCTGTGTTCCGTGGAGGATGTTCCCGTGGCTGACCACGGCCTGTCTGTGGAGGATGTTCCCGTGACTGACTTCTGTGGGTTTCTCATTTATTCCCCAGACCTGAGAAGGAAGGAAAGGAAGCTGATGGAGAAGAGTGGGTTTGTCCAGAGCCTGGGCACGGTGCTGTTGTTCGTGGCCCCCACCGTGGCCACCCTGGTGATGTTCCTCACGCACGTTGGCCTCCAGCTGGAGCTCACAGCTTCCCTGGTACGTGTCTGCGTGTTTTGTTTTTCCCTCTGAATGGACAGGGAGTTTTCTCATTTGTCCTTTTCCAGCGTGTGCCCCTCAAAGACTTCAGTGGTTTGCAAACAGGTACTAGGAATGGATTTTGGTTTTCCTTCCATGTCGACCCCTGTGAGGAACAGACATCCCTGTGGCCACAGCTGTGGGAGGGCGGGGTGACCGTCGTTTGGGGGCTTGGGGAGCTGGAATGCGTAGTTCACACCCCAGGGATTGGGAACCCTAAATGGATGCATTTCTCTGTGACCAAAATAGAGCCCCCCAATACGCTTTTAAAGAGAAGGCGTGGCTCCTTCTGTCTTTCCCTTTGGGGCCTGACCCTGGCCCTGGGACGGAGCAGGGATCCGTCTTTGAGGAGAGGAGGGCAGGGGCTGATCTTGGAGACGTGGGCTCACAGCTGGGGAGGCCGAGGCTGTAGCCAAAGCAGGAGGGCATCATGGGGGTTCGTAGCCAAGGGCTCACCCGGGCTCCGCGCAGCAGTTTCCTCTGCCTGGCCCAGGCCTTGGGGTCGCACAGTGCTCACAGCAGGCGGAGTCAGACCAACGCATGCCGGCGGTTGGAGTTTATCATATTCTGTGTCTGTGTCTGTGTCTGTGTCTATGTCTATGTCACATCATATATACACTTTAATCCTTACGTGAGGATATTTTTCCCCATTGATTTTTTAAAGAGAGATTGCTGTGGCTGGAGGCTCAGGGATGGGGGCTCCCGGGATGGGAGTCGGGGGTCGGGCTGCCACCCTCACCACCTCTTCTTGTCCCCACCAGGCCTTCACGGTCTTGGCCATCTGGAACACCATGCGGCTGTCGGTGTTCTTCATTCCCTTCTCGGTCAAAGGCCTCACGGAGTCCAAGTCTGCGGCAGAGAGGTTCAAGGTCAGCGGTCAGGGCGGGCTGCCCGGCCCTTGGCAGTGGGCGTTCACCTGCCTCCAGCCCCGGGGCGTTCCTCCTGAGTGCGGGATAGTGGCTCCAGGGCGCGGATAGTGGTTCGGGGATGTGGGTGGGGGGAGCCCGGAAGGCGTGGAGCATGAGATGGGGAAGGACCCATGGGCAGGTACAGACAGGGTATGGCTCTGGGGGTGGCTCTGGGGCTCATGGATGCTCATCATGTTACTAAAAATAACTCAGCTCACAAACTGAAGGGCCGTGCAGTTCCTGATGATGACGACGGTGTCCCTTGGCCCGGACGTTGTCATTCATCCGGCGAAACAGACCTGCGGCCCATGTTTTTAAATAATGAAGAAACAGACTTCCCCTCATTTCTTTTGAAAAATAGCTTTTTTATTTTATTTTATTTTCGTAAAATGCTAGGTGCTCATTGTAAAAAGTTGAGGTGCCACCGACAGGCGCAGGAATAACAATGACTCGGCATCCGCGGCCTGGACAGAAACCACGTCCAGACCAGTTCCCACCCAGCCCTCGCCCTGAGCGGGTCTCCGGGGGACGCTGCGGAGGGATGGACTCCCCCCCGCCCCCTTTTCATGCTGAAGGTCACGGCGTTTAACGCCTGAATTTTACACACAGGGCGCTGCGGACGCAGAGCCAAGGGACTGAGTAGATGGCGCCGCACGGCACCTCCCACAGGGTGTACCCGGGCAGACCTTGTCCCTTTTTCTGTTCTTTTAATGCCTCGTCATATAGATGTCAGAGGCATTTCTTTCTCTTCTTAATTTCAGAAAGAGAGAGAGATAAACAATACCAATGATGAGAGAGAATCATGGACCGGCTGCCTCCTGCACGCCCCACACTGGGGATCGAGCCCGCAACCCAGGCAGGTGCCCCGACCGTGAACAGAACCGTGACCCCCTGGTTCATGGGTCGGCGTTCAACCACTGAGCCCTGCCGGCCGGGCAGACCTTTGACCTTTACGGGTTATAAATGAAACAGAAACACCACACGTTGGTACTAGGACTCAACAGCTGCTGTCACCGAGGATGAGGCTGGCGTAGGTCAGGCTGTCGTCACTGTACAATAGGCTGGAAAGTGAGGAATAGGGCGGGGAGTGTCCAATATGAAAGGGGCCCAGTGGTGTGAACTCGGGAAATCCACCAACAGAACTAGCCTCCCCTCGCTGGACAGCGGCTCTTCCCACGCTCGCTGTTCATTCGTTCACAGACCAGCCCCCGGGGCCGGCCGGCCGCAGGGGGACACGCTACGCTCCTCCTGGGCCGGCGGCCTGAACGCCTCTCCCCCACCTCTCGCCCGGGCAGAGGTTCTTCCTGCAGGAGAGCCCCGTGTTGTACGTCCAGCCGGCCAAGGACCCCAGCAGAACGCTGGTGTTGGAGAAGGCCACGTTGTCCTGGCGCAGGCCCTGCCCCGGGGTGGCCACCGGGGCCCTGGAGCCGGAGAGGAACGGATACGCTCACGAGGGGACGCCCGGGGCTCAGCCCCCACCAGGCGCCCTCGGGCCCGAGGACACGGGGGACGGCCTGGCCCCGGCGTTGCACAGGATCAGCCTGGCGGTGTCTAAGGTAGCGGCTTCCTGCCAGGCGGGCGGGCCAGCGGCCGGGGGTGTGGCCTGAGGGTGGGAGCCTGGCCTGGCGTCCCACCGTTTCCTCGGCTAGAATCTGTCCTCCCCAAACCTCCCTTTAAGACGCAACCCATCTCAAATGGCGCCCACCCCCAGCTCTGATACAGGAGCTGGTTTCCTGCGACTCCTCACCCTGAGAGTATGTGTGGGCTTCTTTATGGCAAGGTCTCTCCCCACCAGCATGTGAGCTCCCCAAGAGGCCTTGCCTTCATTCCTGGGCACAGGAGAAACTCAGAGGACTCTCTGATGGGCGAACGAATGAATGAACAAATGAACGAACGAACGAATGAATGAATGCGTGAGCACTGGGAAGCTGCTCTGTGGTCCCCATTTCACAGATGGAGAAACAGGTGCAGGGAATACAGGCAGGTCTGGAATGGGCTTCTCTCCTAACAGGACCACCCACCCACCACCCCC